TTCAGTGAGAGACAGTCTCAATGGAATCAAGCAGAAAGTGATAATACAGGACACTTGACTACCTCCTCTGGATTCTGCACAGGTGCAGAGACACATGACTCTGTGCATGCATGTATGCATACACCACACTCACATACAGACACACACATGCATACACACTGACATACAGACTCACAAGAAAATTTAAAGGAAGGAAGGAAGACAGGGAGGGAGGAGGGTGTGAAGGAACAAACCAGAAGAAGAACCAGAGAGATCCAGTTGCTTCCTCTATTCAAAGATCCCAGGTCACAATGCAGTATGCCTTCAGACCTGGCATCCCCAGGTTCAAGAGGTTCTTTTTCCATTTGTCAGTCACCAAGAGCTGTTCTATTGCTTAATTGAATTCTTTTCCTCCCTTTCCTCCTTTCTTCTTGTCCTGTGTAGCTTCCTGGATCATTCCATTGGCAAAACAAGCCCAAAGGGTACATCAACTAAAATAAAATGAAAATGTGAAAGGAAGCCATGACTTATGACAAAATACCTGTTGCTAGGTGTTAGGGCAGGTGTCTTAATCACTGTTCTGTTGCTGTGAAGAGATACCACGGGGCTGGAGAGATGGCTTAAAGGTTAGGTTGTTCCTCTGGTGGTCCTGAGTTCAGTTCCCAGCAACCATATGGCAGCTCACAACCATCTATAATGAGATCTGGTGTCCTCTTATGGCCTGCAGGCATGCAGGCAGGCAGAATACTGTATACACAATAAATAACTAAATCTTTTTTTTTTTTAAAGATATACCATGACCAACGCAACACTTATAAAAGAAAACATTTAACTGGGGGCTGGCTTACAGTTTCAGAGGTTTAGTCCATTATCATCATGGCAGGGAGCATGACAACAGGCAAGCATGTTTAGAGCTACATTCTGATCCATATGTGACATTGGGTTTGGCATGGAATTTGAAACCTCAAAACCCAGCCCCTGTGACATACCTCCTCCAATAAGGTCACACCTTCTAATCCTTTTAATATTTTCAAGTAGGCCACTTGTTGGTGACTAAGCATTCATGAGCTTATGGGGGCCATTCTTATTCAGACCACCACAGTGGGGATGAGACTATTGATTGAGCAGTCATCTTAAGGCAAAAGGACTCTGGAATTTCCCAGTGAGCAAAGACATGCCACAGTGGCTTCTAGAACAATCAGTCCATCCTACAGGCAATGCAAACAGTATGTCACCTTGATCTAGATAACTGGGAGTAGCCTTTGTCATTTCACTGAAATTCACTCTGCCTCTGAGAGTTCTCTGGGATGGCCCCTCTTCCCCTGTTACTGCATCTCCCAGGCTTTTTCTTACTTAGTGCTGATAGCATCACCCAACAGTTCTAGGAAGTAGGTAATAAGTGTTGCCCCATGGTCAATGAACAGAAAAGGGGAGCTCAATTCTGAGGGCCCCCAGGCTGCTCTGGGGTGTGGCTTGTTACTAGGCCTGCATTCTGACAGTGTAGTCTTCATGCTGTCATCAGAGAAGGGAGGAGACTTCCAGGAATCAGGGTGCCGCCTCTTCTCTCCCCTGCCTTGGTTATATTCAGATCTGTGACAGCAGGGTGGGTGGATCTGTATCACCATAATGAGATTATAATGATCGCAGCATCCTCTGGAGTGTCAACATGACCTCTACATCAGACCTCATTGATGTGGAGCTCCTGTGGAATGTGAGTGCTAACTGGGTAGCCAGCAGCCAGGAGCGTGTGGTTATCAGCAAGCTAGCTGTAGTTTGGGGAACAAGTGACACAGTTGGCTGGAAAACAGACTTCAGTCATTTGAGAGCTCTTGTGTGTGACCTGGGAGCCAAGCACTGCTCACTATCACTGTTCCAACGAATGTTCTGGCTCCGCAAGTGCAGAGGGACTCTTTGTCCTCAAGCCAGGCAGCTTCTGCCTGACCCCATGTCAGATCACTGGAATCTTGCCCAAGGAACATTTGCACAGTAGACTCCTTGAGAGGAACTTGCCCATGTGTGAACTTTAAAATATGAAATGCATCTCCATTTTGCATTGCCTACTTTGAATTTTAAATGTCACCTCTAAAAATGCAGAAAGGCACTGCTGATCATTCTGATACAAGCAAGCAGGAAGCCAAATCAAACCTCACTTCCTACCAAGTTCACTGGTCATCCCGTGGTTCATCCTGCTCCTAGTCTCTCAAGTCTGTCTTCACATAGATGACTCTACCCACTCAGGCCTCCTCTCCCAAGCTTACAGAGACACTAAAGGGTTAGAGGCCACCCCTGTGACTATCCAGCTGAGACTGAGCCCCTCAGTCTAAAGCTGTGTGACCCTGTCCCTTCAGAAAACATCACTGCACAGCACACTGGCTCCCTAAGCATTCTGTCTGCTATATGGAGACAGTTCTGTATTTTTGTTTGGCCTCCCATGAGGCTTTGTTATGTGAATTCAAGCCATAGATAGAAGAATCCAAACACAGGTGTTCCTGTAGGGCCTGGGGATGAGAACATGGAAATCAGCTCCCAACTTGGAACATGTTACACTGTAAGCATTGCTGTGGTCAGAACTGAGCCCTCTGCCCTCTGTGGCCATCCGCAGATCCTTCCCATCACAACAATCCAATGATACCATCAGGAAGGCAAACCCCTGTGACACTCCCACACCCCATATACACAGTGACAATGACCCTGAGGAGGGCTATGGAAGACTTGTAAGTCACAGGTCTTCAGGATCCTGTGGAGTTTTAGTTCCAGGGAAGAGACCTAGATGCAAGGAAAGGACTGTCCTGGGAAGCTTGCTAGCACTGCACTTTCTCTCTCTCTCTCTCTCTCTCTCTCTCTCTCTCTCTCTCTCTCTCTCTCTCTCTCTCTCTCCCCCTCACTAATAACAATGGCCAGATTGAGTCAAATTCCTAAGACCTCCATGAAAAGACCCTGTTGAACCCAGAGTTCTTCTAGCCCCAGGGGGCATCCCACCTCTCAGCAGCACAAGTTCAGGTATGTGGGTACCCTGACCTCACCAGGAAGCTTGCCTTCCATGACTCAAGAGTTGGCTTCTGTCTGACAGGAAGCAGCTGAGCCGAGACAAACAGAATAATGGCCTTGATGCTCCCAGGAGCCACAGAGTGTCCTCTATCAACCCATAGCAAACACAAATACCTGCAGACAGACACCAAGGAAGGACATGTGAGCTGCCAAGGAGGCCAGGCATCCTGGAGGACCCTCTGCTCAACACACTACAGGAAACATCTTAGGCTTGAAGGTGGGAGGGGGAGGGCACTCAGACAAACTTAATGGAAGCCCTTGTGCTTGGAGAGTGAGGTAATCTCTAGCCATGTTCCTAAAAATACCCATGGGCAAATGTCCTACATATGCCACATAGCTGAGTTGAGCCATCAGACTAGATGTTGGATGTTCAGGAAGAAAGGGCCAGTTGAAGACATACTCCTTGGACAAACAGTATTCACCCTCTTCAGAAACTCTTACTCTATTGTGGACACCTTAACCTCACTCAGGTACAGGCTCCTCCTGCAGTTGGCAGTTGTTGCCTGGCCAGCCTTCTAAGGGCTTCCTAGGGCAAAGATGTATGGCCCTATGCGGCATCCTTCCTCAGCTAGGCCATCCTGTAGATATCCTGACTCCTTGCCCAGTCCCCTTCCCATTGCCTGGGGCCCAGTGTGGTAAGTTTCCTAGTCGGGAGGGTAGGGTGTGGTGATGGCCAATGGAGAGCACTACAACATGCCTGCAGTAGGGTTAGCTTTCCAACGTGTTGTTTTATCTTCACTAGAGTGGCCATAGCCTGGGGAAATTCTGCTCCCCAGACAATGAAGATTCAAAGGTTAGGGTGAAAACCTGTGGGCTCAGAGAGTTAGACTAGCAACTGGCTAACTTACTCTCTTTGCTGGTGTCCTGGAAGCCACTCTCTTCCACACCACCCCAACCATAAATAAATCAATAAATCAAGCTAAGCGCATCCCTGTTAACCAGTGCCTAATCCCACCTCTCTGAGCCCAGGTTAATTTTATTTAACACAAATGCAATGCACCTTTACATAGTTAACAAATGCAGCATGAACAACTGTAACACTTGTTTGCCTGGTTTAAACAAATTCTCCACAACACCAATATCTCATTAGGAAATCATAATCTGGGAGAGGCACAGACTACATGGCATTCCATCCGTTGGGCCCCATGTCTACAGCTACCCCTCAGGCTTCTGCCCTGCACCAGCTATTGCCCTGAAGTGTGAAGAGTGTGAGGACACTGTGAGCACTAGACCTGGCTGCCCACTGACCAGGTGTCTCTTCGGGATCAAAGTAGAGACTTGACCTTCTTGACCCAAACATAGCGGCAAGGACATTCACCCCGGACCCCAAGGATTTTCAAGCATTTCCATCCCAGACATCCATTTCTCCATGTTTCTCTACCACAGACAAGCCATGATTTTATCTGAACTGTGACCTTGAACCCTTTACTTCTGTTCTGACACACAGTAAAGTGGGTGAAGGTAGCAAAGGCCCTGAGGCCATACCTATTGTTCGCAACTTTTTTTCTCCATCCACTCAGGTCAATGCCACTGTCTTAGTGCTGTGGGAATGGGGTGTGGAACTCCCCAGGGCGCCATGTAAAAGCATAATGTCAATGAGTGTGGGGTGCAGGAGGATTGGGGAGGCTAGAGCTCCTCTGAAGGCAGCAGACACATATGCAGTGGAAACCGGTGCCTGCCTGCATGCCCTCTGCCAGTGACTGGGTAGAAAGAAGACTAGCTGCAGGTGTGGGCACTGTGGAAATGGTACCTCTGGGAGCTGCTCGGAATCATGGGAAGATGCTCTCAGCTGAGCAGCCCTGGGAGAACACCAATCCCAGGTGGGCTCCTGGGATACCATGCCCTACACTCTGCATGAGTGGTTCTGGGCAAGGTCCTTCTCAGCTGCCAGCCTGACTCCTCCTGAGACTCCTGACAAATCACAGAAAGAATCCTGGCCATATTGGTCACTGCAGTCTCCGCTTCCTTTCCAGGATTTGAAGACTGTCCTCTCCCTGCCCCAGTACCCAGGGGAGTTCCTGCACCCCGTGGTGTATGCCTGCACTGCGGTCATGCTCCTGTGCCTCCTTGCCTCTGTCATCACCTACATCCTCCATCAGAGGTAAGGGAGCCCTACCTGGAACAGCAGCCACTATGGAGAAAACCTACTCCTTCCATCCTGGGCCTCTGGCCTTCTTTTTTGTTATCAATTTATTTTTATTTTATGAGTGTGAGTGTTCTGCCTACATGTATGTATGTGTTCTGTGTGTATGTGTGGTTCACAAGGAGGTCAGTAGAGTGTGCCTGATCCATAGAACTGGAGTTAAGAATGGTTATAAGCTGAAAACAAAACCTGAGTCTACTGGAAAATGGCAAGTGCTCTTAACTGCCGAGCTATCTACTTTGCCCCCACTGGACCTTCTTTTGTCTTTTTTCTTTTCTTTTCTTTTCTTTTTTTTTTTTTTTCTGAGAGGGGAGGGCTAGTTCAAGGCAGAGTTCCTCTGTGAAACAGCCCTGGCTGTCCTGTAATTCACTCTGTAGACCAGGCTGTCCTCACACTCACAGAGTTGTGCCTGCCTCTGCCTCCCAAGTGCTGGGACTAAAGGTATGTGCCACCACCACTGCCCTCTGTGTTCTTGTAAAACTGTGAAATGGAAGCATTTTGGCTCAGGTATCCTAAGAGGCATGGTCAGGCTTGTAGAATCTTGAAGTCCTTCTCTACTGTGCCTTCTTACTTAAGAAGGGCCCTCTAGACAGAGGCCCACTCCTGAGATCACTTCTGGCTGCCTGTGTCTGGAATGGGGATGCATGTGACTGCTGGCTGCCTGAATCCCTAGAAGATGCACTAGGACATAGAAGGTAGGGATCTCAGCCACAGCCACAGCCAAACCCTAACCAAAATTGTGAGTAATGCCTAGGCCTGGTTCATAGCCAGTCACAAATGGAGGCTTGGTATGACAAGGCCTCTGTTGTGGGAGAGGTTTAGATAGCTCCAAAACTGTTCGTAGTCTATTTTGGCAGCTCAAACAAGTTACCACAGAGTGTCTGGTTGATAACAATGGATAAAATAGAAATTGTTTTCTCATAGTTCTAGAAGTTGGAAGCCAAGAGTGAAGGTACTGAACTGGTTTGGTGTCTGATGAGAACCTATGTCTTGATTCATAATCTCCCTCTCATCTCTCCTCTCTCTCTCTCTCTCTCTCTCTCTCTCTCTCTCTCTCTCTCTCTCTCTCTCTCTCTCTGAGTCCTCCAATGGTATAAAGAAAAGGGCAGCCCTTATGGATCTCTTAGATAAGACCACTAAATCTATTCATGAGAACTCAGCCCCAACAACCATTCTCTAATGCCACCATGCTAGTAGTAAAATTCCAACTGGGATCTTGGGAAGCACACTCAGACCACAGGACCTGCAAGAGGAGACTTAGATGTGTGTTCACAGCCATGATGGAGTCAAAGCCATAAGCTGATTGCTCACTATTGCTCCTGGCCCTGCCCTAGCTGGCTAGGTAGATCTTTAGGCATGCTGGTGAACATGGATATTATCACAACCAAAGGCAATCATACTTTTAGGCACATAGTCCAGCCCTCTCTCTGCATCAGACATCTACTCAGAGATGAAGCTGTCCTGGGCATCAGGAGCATAACTTCCCTCTCTGAGATCCTAGACAAGTCAGTATATCAAATGGACAAAGGGGCAGAAACTCTACAGAAGCCCTCCCAAGCACTGCACCAGTGAGAACCCGCTAAGTTGGATGAGGCCCAGTTGCCTATCTTCCCCATGGTCTGGTCCTTTGGATGGGTTGCTCCCAGCCCTCCTGAAGGCCTGCTGTTCCCACCATGGACAAGGTGTGATATTTCCAGACTCTTTTCTGAACGAATGGTTTTTGATGTGAAATCTCTTCTTTCTCACAGTGCCATCCGGATCAGCCGGAAAGGCCGGCATGCACTCCTCAACTTCTGCTTCCACGCGGCTCTGACCTTCACCGTGTTTGCTGGTGGCATCAATCGCACCAAGCACCCTATCCTATGCCAGGCGGTGAGTGCTGCCTTCCCTGTGCTAAAACACAAAAGTGGGCATGCCAGCTTTCTTATCCATGTGGAAATGATGCTAATTTGATTATAAAAGGAAACCTCAGTGCTTGTTCAGCTTGCCCCTGAAGGGAAGAGTGAGGCTCTACAGTGGGTCCTTAGTATAATCCCACCTCCATCTGAAACAGGGTGTTTTGCTCAACATTCAGCCATATAAAACAGTGTTGTCTTTCACTTCAGCAACTTGTCTAAGGGCTAGTGGGCCATAGATATCTACTATCCAGCATATGGTGATCTTCACAAGAATGGGAACATGATGCATTTCCTGAAGACCAGTGATGCAGGACCCAGGGGTGGGCTGAGTGAGACCTTCCAGGTGCTAACCTCATGTTGCCAGCAGATCTTCCAGCCATAGGTACCAGTAGCAGCAGAGGTTCTGTCCCCACATGAACCAGGCAGAGCATCCCGAGGCATCTCTGCTCTCTCTTAGGGAAAAGGGAGCTTTGAACACCCAGCATGGGAAAGAACAGCTCAGATTACAAGAACATCATCTTCACACATGTAGCCTGGTTTGACTGGCTTAAACCAGGAAAAAGAAATAACCTGTGACCCCTGGCTACAGTGATACTAGAAAGCCTTCTTTTTTAAGTCAAGCCCAGGACTATCCTGTTAGGTTATGGCTCTGGGCCAAGGAAGAGCGCCATCTGCACCTGCAAGGAGTCTGTGTTTGTCCTGCCCCTAGACCTGTTCCACACCTAGGCTCCATGAGTGAGGCCAGGCAGAGAGGGACCCAGGGATCCAGATCAACTTACCAAAGACCTTGGTGGTTTCTGTCATTGCATGGGTAACATCTTCCCTGCACCATGGGTCCTCAGGTAGCCCTAAGTGTTGCAAATTCAGGCAATAGATGTTGGCTGCTGCAGAAATGACCTCCAGCCCATACCTGATGACCACATGACCCATGTTAATGACAATAGCCACACTAACTGGTTCCTCAGCCTTTCCTGTGATCTTTAATCCTACAAGGGTAGCTAGCTGAAGATGATGCTGATCCTATGGATCAGTGGGTTAAAGGCTGTTCCCAGGACAGTCTGGCTAAGAGGACACACCCTCCTACCTACCTGGTTCCCACCCAGGCCCACCTCACTCAGGCAGGCTTCAACTGACTGCGCCACTGCTATTTTGTTTCACTACACTGATATCTTTTGAGGCTAAGAGTGCTTTGTGAGCGTCATGCTCACACCTGAAAGATACAACCCATGCTCTCATCCCCTGGGCACAAAACGTGTGACTATGTGACACATTCAATCCTGGGAAGCCAGGCTGCTACCCAGGCCTGGGCCAGACAAGCAAAAGAGGCAGTGCCACATTCCTGAATGGAAGAGAGAGAAGACAACTTCCTCCACTGCTGTGTCTGTTAAGCTAGAAACAGCCACAGTGAGGGCTAGTAAGTCCCACTCACTCCTGTTATAAAAGCCTGTCCAGAAGCCATCAAAAAGGCAATTGAGTGGGTCATTATCTTTATGTCTTTACTCTGCCACCAAGTGCTGCACAGCTGGGGCCTGCTGGCCACATAGTCCATTGCAATCATCTTAGTGCCTCCACAGAGTCCAGCACTGGCCAGAGGCTCAGGCCAGCCCCGTGAAGCCCCAGGGAGGCAGGCAAATGTGGCATTCCACAATTCTACTGGTGCAGGACCTGGAAGAGAGGTTTGATAGGTGGGCCTGGAAATATCCTCCAAGCTAAAATCGGTAAGGGTAATGCTCAGATGAGAAGTCCTTAGTAACAATGCTGGGACTCCAGCCTCCAGACTCCCTATGTGCTAGAGCAGGATGGACTGCAGAAAGCAGACCTGTCTGGTCCCCTGTGGCTTTTCCTACAGTGGCCAGCCTCTATCCATCCCTCACTTGACAACACACCTTCCTTCTAGGCACAGGCAGTGTTAGGGATGAGGGACCAGTGGAAACATATCAGCCAGGCTGTGTCGGGGGAAGTTGTGGACAGCAGACTAAGGAGAGGGAGAAATAAGCCACATGCAGGTGAGCTTTTAGAGACACAGAAGTTCTGCTAGGTCAGTAGGGAAGCAAGAGCTAGTGGGGGGTGGGGGGGTTGAGAAGCACACTCTAGGTGACAATTCACACCAAGGCATTTAATTCCCCATGCCTATAAGCAGAAGTGGGGTTGTCTATTGTTGCTGAGGCCTCCCTGAGCCAGAGGCCAGGCTGGTTTTAATCGGTAAATGAGGAGCTGAACCAGCTCACCCAGCACTACTGCTCCCTCACCTGCTAAGAGGGAGATAACTGAGAGGAGCATGCTAAAAGCTACATCACTAGAGCTACATGCGTCCCCTTAACTAGCAACCAGGTGACTGAGTACGGGAGTCCCAGCCCCTCCCCATCCAAGCTCAACATCACCACCAAACAACCAGGAGAAGTGGTCCAGAGCTCTGGATGGCTGGCAAGAACAGACAGTTGTCATGGCAACAGAAAGATGACCGTGAGTCTCATTAAAGTACTAAGTGACATCATAAACAAAGCAGACGGCTGTTGTTAGTCCCACATAATGAATGTGCGTCAGTGCTGGCCCTGGGTCCGGAAGCAAGGGAGGGTGTCCTGCCTGCTTCCTCTTTTCAATAGCACAAGCTGTCTGGAAGCCGGGTGGCATCTCCCTTGACCTCCCTTGTGTGTTCTGCCTCAAGCTGGTGTTTAAGAGACAGAGCCTGCCCTTTGTACACCTTCTCCCACTCCCTGATCATACAGCCTGGATGAGACTCAGCTTAAGGAAGGAAGCAGCCAGGCCTCCTCCCCATCTCTCCTACCAGCCAGGCCTCCACCCACCTCAAGGCCCTGGGCCAGTGTCTCAAGGCCAAAAGTCAGAAGCCCTTCAGAGGATGAGTCTGACATTTCTGTTTGTATATGACAATGGCAGCCACACAAAAGACCTTCCTTTCAAGCCATGGCTACCTGCCCCTCTTCTGGGTGCTCTTGTTCTGAACTCTTAGATGGCAGACAGCTCTTGCCACCCAGGTCCAGGACAGTCCTACTCTCATCCAGGAGGGATGAGCTCAGTGTGTCCGGGATGTCCATATGGCCCGCCTCACCTGAGCAGCAGAAGATCAAGGGAAGGCTGGACTCACAGGACACGCTCACTTACCCATGAAGCCATCTGAAATCATAAACAGTCTTCAATCTTTCTAACCACCCCCAGCCCCATATCCTCATCAATTATTATAACATTTGCTCATAAGTAAAAACTGAACTCTGGATTTGATAAATCATTATAAGGTGCAATGTTAGCTTTATTCAGGAAATCTCCATATTCCTTAAACATTTATGTCCTTTCCGATTATAGCAATATTTTACTTGTCATTTCAAAATGTCAGGTTATTACCTCAAAGGTAGCTTTATTTTATGGAATCAGATGGAGATAAAGCAGTGAAGAATGCGTAATTAGCTAGCGTAAAAGTGCTAGATGGGACTGGCTCCAGCGGCTGTTTCCATAGCAATGAGTCACTCTGACGTGCAAGGGCGGGTTATCAGAGCCTCAGCCCTGAGGTGCCTTTCCTTCAATTCAATACCACAATGAACACATATTAGGAGTCCTGCTGTGTAGCTGTGCCTGCCTTCCAGTTAGGGGCCCCAGAGTGGGACCAGAGTTCACAGGTAGGTGTGTATACCAGGACCCATAATAAGGATGGCATATGCATCCTGCAGAGGGGGGACTAGGATGAGAAACCACAAGCTTCCCATGGGTTCACATACACAGCAAATAGCTGAACAGTTTAAAAGTCGCGGCTGCCCCTGACACATCATCTACCTGTCTTCCTGTTGGTCTCATTTTTTTATTGTCCCTAAAGAGTTACAGAGTAGCTGCCAGGGTTCAGTACACTCACAGCAGAAAAAGTTTGGGCTGCACACAAGGAGCCTGCTGTGCTGTGCTGGGGCAGGTGGCTGGAGGAGGTGGCTGGCTGACATTCTCCCCTCCCAGGTGGGCATTGCACTGCATTATTCTACGCTCTCTACCATGCTGTGGATCGGAGTGACTGCCAGGAACATCTACAAACAGGTGACCAAGAAGGCCCTGCCATGCCCAGGTGCAGACCAGCCACCGTACCCCAAGCAGCCCTTGCTCAGGTATCCAAGAAATGTTCATGGGCCCCTCCACCACCTGAGCGTAAGAAACCCATGACCCTGGACATACCTGTCAAGTGTCCTGTAAACTTTTCTCACCAGACTCCAGGCTGGAGATGATCTGGCCTGCACAAGTGATCTGAGGGCTGGACAGAACTAGGAGGTGGCACAGTAAGTGGGGAGGGGTCTGAGGGTAAAAACTGGGGGGCACTGTGCTGAATATGGGGACCAGGAGTAGCATGAGATAGCAGAGCAAAGTCCTGAGGTAAGATGTGTCCAGCCAGGGGACAGGGACAGAGACAGGTAGGTCTGGGGCAACTTGAAGGTCATGGCACTGCCCATGGTATCTCTGGCTGAGTTTGGCTGGTCTGAAGACTTGTGTCCCTATACTACGTGGGACACTGAGTTGCCCAGTTACTGGTAGGAGGCCCTCCATGCCCTTGAGGTGAACACACATGGTGACTGGGCATCTGTGGCTTTGGTTTACTTCCTGGTCTCAGGAACACTAAGGCACCTGCTGTTAGCTAATAGATAACCTTTGTACATTCTAGTACTAATTTCCTAGTCACTGTGCACTGGCCTGTTGGGGACCTGTGGATTAATCAACAGGCCCTGCTCAAGCTATGTCCACTACCCTCACTCAGGGAGAATTCTCAGCAAACTTGGAACCATGTATGCTGGAGCCCTCAAAGACAAAGGCAGCAGGATGGTTGCTTCCCTCTTTCCAGAGTCAGAGACAGAAAAGCTGTAGGACTAGCCCATCTAGGAAATGGTAGGAGTCCTCTCACTTCCCTTAGTAAAGAGCAGTGCTGCAGAGCAATTGAAAGCCACTTTAGACATAAGCATGCCTCTAACCATAGTAGACAGAAGTCGGCAATAAGAGCCCATGGCTTTGTCACTTACTCAACACCAAACCCCCAGCACTGCAATCAACAAAAGCTAGACTCAGAGTAGCTGGCCTAGAAGGTTCTGGACATAAGTGCCATCCTATATGAAGCCGGCCTTACCTGTCCTGTAGGCCACTGAGGTTCCACGAGTACCCTTCTTGGTTTACCAGGACCTGATGTACTAGGATGGTATGGTGCTAGGACCCTAGCAGCCCTTGGTCACTGGCATGTCTGACCCTTCCTATCTTCCCAAGCCCCTTCCCCCATGACTAGCTATGGGCTTGGTATACATACCTGCCTGTAAGTGCACACCCTTGTACCCTTGTACATACATATGTAGGTGCATGCCTTCCATATATGCATGGGAACACAAGTATACATGCTGTCCACATATACACACATACATGCGCTCTGCAAGTTCACACTCTCCGTGGGTTAATGTCATTTGGAGGTGTAGGTTCAGGGATTATGAAGGGTGTCTGCTTCATTATTCACTAAAGGCCTGCTTCCCTCTGCTGACTTCTGACCAGGCCTAGGGCTGGTAAGGGAATTGCTGTACCTGGCCCTTCTCAGAGAGACTAGGGGCTAAGGAGAAGGAAGGAGGGAGCCTTTCATCTTAGACTCCATGATAGGCCCTCAGATACTTTACCTTCATTGTTAATTTTACTCACTTGAGAGATGTCCAGGACCAGAAAAATATATCTGGTATGTCTGTGAGGACATTTCCAGAGATGACTGCTATGTGATGCAGTAAATGAAAAGGAAAACCCACCTTGAATGTGGGTGTCAGATCCAATTAAACTGGGGCCCAAATGCAGTGCAGTCAGAAAAGGAGGACATCACTCAGTATGCACAAGCCTCACCCTTCTGAGAGAGTACATCTATTTTGGCTGCCATGGACAACAGACTCCATGTTCTTCAGCCTTTGAGTGTAATCACACCAAGGATTCTCTAGGGAAGCTTCCAGGTTTTCAGCCTCAGACTGAGACATCGCTGGTCCCTCTTATTCTTAGGATTCCAGCCTCTTGAACTAAGCAGCTAGGGGATCCTCCACTGCTCTAGTAGACAGACAGCCATTGTTGGACTACCCAGTCCCTATCATAGGAGCCAGCCTAACAAACCTCTTTATGTTGTTATCAAATACAGTAATTTTAAGTATATACATATAGGCTGTTATCTAGAGAACACTGGCTGATGCACCCTTCATCTCTGGACCAGAAGAAGCCTCTAGCATGCCTTCCTTGAGCCAATATCTCACTCAGGTGTCTCTTCCCAGGAACCACAATGGGTATCTCTCTGGATTTGCATCCATCCATGGTCCCCAAACTCATATCACCATTCACTGAAATTAGTTCTAGAGTCCCAAGAACTGCACAGTCCCAGGAAAGAACCCCCAAAGTGCCCACCAGATGTATATCCTGCTCAACTGCAGGAAAGAATACCTGTACGCCTCCTTACTGGACTCTGGGCCACCACAGGCAGAACAGTCATATCCCATGGGTATAGCTAGTGGGCTCTGTTTCCCATGTGCAAAGACCATGTGGCCGGCCTAGCTTGCAGGTTTTCCAAGAAGAGGTACTAAGAGAGCTGCCTGCATGGGCTTCTGGGAGAGCCTAGGACACACTGTTAGAGCTTTCCACATTTCCAACAACCTCCCCATCCTTGAGGCAGTACTACAGTCTCAGTATTCTAAATATACTCCCTGCTCAGCTTGATGGAGACATACCCACCTCAGGGAAACTTGGTAGAAAACTCCAGCCACAGAAGATTCATAGAGCTTAGGCAATGAGTACTGTGCAAGCCTGAGACCCTCTGCATGAGCGCTGGGTATGATGCAGACGGTCATTGGGTGACAACACTAGGACAGAGGCTTTGACTCCCTAGGGCCTACACATGTGTGTCGGTGCTGTTTCAAGGAGAGAGAAAGATCCACAGAGGCCCAGAAGAGAGCAGTTGAGTGGGCCTCATTGCCAAGGTTGAAACCAAGTATTTGCTCCTCAACCATGATCGAGATTGGTAGTTTCCATGACAACAAACAAAGACTAGACTCTCAGCAGGGAGTTCTGTGACTTTAAATGGTGATTCACCTGGTGACATCTCCCCTCACTCTCTAGCTGTGCATATGGCCACAAACACACACACACATACACACACACACACACACACACACACACACGACTAAGGGACTCACTGAGAAACCCATGGCAGCCAAGCCCTCAGAGAATGGCCCCTAGGTATGTGGAAAAGCAGCAACCCAGGTCTCCTCAACAGTGGGGTGTCTTGAGGAAGGCATGACCAGCCCTCCTGCCAACAGGATCCTGGCTGGGGCCACGCAAGTGGATGTTCAGACATGGATCTTACATTCCAGAGGCAAGTTATCAAGGGTCAAAACCCCATGAAGGGACAGGTCAGACACTCACACAAGCTCATAACCCTGGGCCAAAGATAAAGAGTGCTGGCCTTGGGCAGTCTGTCAGATCTTTCCAGTTCAGCCTGCAGTGAAGACTGATGTGGCCCGCAGACCTTCTAAGGAAGCCTTGTCATTTTCCAGGGCTAATGTTTCAATTCTGCAGACACAGCCTCTTTTCCATGCGTGAAAATCTTCCATTTCCCCCAGAATCCCCTGTAGTTCACAACACAGACCTCTTGAGCCTCCTTGCTTACATTTTTCTCAAGTATATTTTTCGTTTTAAATATTACTATAGCTAGGTGTGGTGGCTCATGCCTGCACTACCAGAACTCAAGAGGCTAAAGCAGGGGGATTATCAAGACCAGTGTGAGATACATAGTGCATTCCAAGCCAGCAGGGATAACAGGGTGAGACCTTGTCTCAAAAAAAAAAAAAAAATTAAAGTTATTATAGTTGAGATTTTCTTAATTTTCATTTCTAATCACCCCGTGCTTGCCTATCGAAATACAACTGATTTTGTGTGTGGTTCTTGTTTCCTGTAGCTTTGATGAGTCCTCTTGGCAGTTTCAGAGGTGGCTTTGGTTAATTCCTACAAGCTGAGTGCATGCAATGACTGTGCCATTCGTGCTTCTCCCGTGCCTGTTGGAGTTGTTCCTTTCCTCTCTCTCTCCTTTTCTCCCATCTGGCTACTGCTCTGGCCATGACTCCAAGCCAGTATTGGCCCTCTCCCTCCCCTCAGTGTGGCACATGCTTGCCATGTTTGTTGAGTGTTCTAAAGAACCAGTCTTTGGTGTATCCACTATCTCTAATTTTTTCCTGCCACTGATCTGTCCTTTCTTCTGTGTGAACAGATTTGTTTTGTCCATCTTCTTAGTTCCTAATCATATGAAATTGGGGGTTAATCTTTCATTAAAATGGCTGTTTTATGGCTGTAAGATTTCCTGTGTGTGGTGTTTCCAGGTCCCCAAGGCATAGTGTGTGGTTTTTCATTCATCTCAAAATAGTTTCTTGTTCTCCTTAGGATTTCTGCCTTGGTCTTTGGTTACTTAAGAGGGTGCAGCTTTATTTTCACAGATCGTTAGATATAGGAAAATGGAGGAAACTGTCTGGAAACTTGTGGAGATTTTTCTTTTAGTGATGACTGGAATGTAGAAATTCCTGACTTGGTCACGGGGGGGGGGGGGGGGGGAGGAGGTGGGGAGTGATGTTTTAGCTTCTAAGACTCTGTGAGGAGATCTTGGCTACAACCAAGAGAAGAATCTCATTCCTTTATCATGTTTAGAAAATTCTATGTACCCAGTAGCTCTGCAACCAGGGAAGGGGTAAAAACTGGGCTGAGAGTAGGTGATGCACATCTTCCCTCCCAGGTAAGTCCAGGCTGTGCCCAGACTAGCCACTTCCTGCTTTGTTGGAGAGGGAAAGGGAGCATGGAGGGTAGAGCTGTGTTGTTAGGTGCTCAGTGGGAACTACAGCCTCCAGAGAGTACAGGCGTTGAGGACACTGGTCAGAAGTCATCCAGGCATCATGCAGTAGGCTCAGAGCCTTGATAGGGCTCTCTGGTCCAAACACAACTATAGATTTAGTGGTATCACATCTCTACTTTAGTCCTATCTCAAGCCTCTGTAGGTTAACAAGCCGCTAGCAACCAAGAGAAGCATTAGAGAAGCCCAGGAGCACAGAGTCTTGGGGAAGAGAGTTGTAGGACC